AGAGTCCTGCAACTTTTAGATGTGTCTCGGATGCCACACAGCTGAATCAAATAAGGAGGTCATTAGCAGGACTTTGGATAACTTGACTGCACTGAGAAGCTAACTCAGTCATATGATTCAGGTGTTTTGGACCAGTGCAACATCTAAAAGTTGCAGGACTCCAGCCCTCGAGGCCTGGAGTTTGACACCCCTGGATAGCACATCATAGTCCTGGTGGTGGTGACATCTTCAACAAACTTGCTGATGTATCTGAGGACAGCATATGTGTATTCCTCCAGATCCAGTACTCCCTGATTTACAGCGACCTCCCTGAAGACCTGCCAGTCTGTGCATGCAAAGAAGTCCTGCAGGACAGAGTCACTGTTGCTGGGCCGCACACTGATGATCTTCTATGTGGGTTTGGAACATCTCAGTGGGGGGTGGTAGACAGAGGCCAGAAAGATAAAGGTGTGGTCCGAGAGGCCAAGGTGGGAGCATGGTATGGCTCTATATGCATCTCGTATGTTGGTATAAACATGGTCTAGTGTGTTATTTCCTCATATTGATATGGTGACATGATGATAAAATTTTAGCAGAGTGTTTCTCAGGTTTAAGTGAGTAAAATCACCAGCCACCATGTAAAAAGCCTCCGGATGCTTGTTTTGAAGCAATCTGCTGTTATCATTTAGCGCCCTCAGAGTGTCTTTTTAGCATTAGCATCCAGAGCTATATAGACAACTATGATATACACATGAACTCAGAAGGTAGATAATGTGGCCAACATCTTACAGTCATTTGGTCTAAAGCCTTGAAGTAGGAACTGTTTATTAGAACACAGTTTGCCCACCAACCTTTGTTAGTAGACTCTTAAGCCCCCCCCCCCCCCCCCCCCCCTTCACACACACACCTTCCCTGATAGCTGGCTGCTGCAGTCTGCCCAAAAATGCAGTTTGTTATCTAGCTGGAGGACTGAGTCCGACATGTTGTTAGTAAACCATGTTTTCGTGAGACGAAGTACTGCACAGTTCCTCGTCTTCTTTAAAACGCTCATTCTTAGTCGCAGAAGATCTAGCTTGTTTTCAAAAGAGCGGACGTTGGCCAGGAACAAAGATGAAATTGGCTTTGTTAGGATTAGATTAGATTTAGTCTTGCTAATACTCCGCCTCGTTTTCCTCTTTTCTGTCCCAGCATGCAGCGCTTTCTTTTCCCGTTAGTACGCTGGTCTCTTCACGCTGATGTCGCTGATGTCCGTAATAGATGCAATCTGCCGAGTGTAGCTCTCAGATTGTGGTCCATCAATGCTGTTTTTGAAGCCAAATCTCTTATGCTATAAGTTCGGTTCAGCTATAATTCACCTGCTTAAAGCAAACTAAATCAGGCTCAGAGCAGATGTCAGAGCTCAGAGCAGATAGGCTTAGACATCAGAGCAATAAACCCTGGGTTTTTCTCGGAGATCTTGAGAAGCCGCTGCTCGTATGTACGTCGCCATCTTGTCAAACAATGGGTTAATGTTTTGAAGTCAGTTTTTTTTTCATTCAACCTTTATTTATACAGGCTAGTTGAGCCACGAGGACTCATTTACAAGAGAGACCTGTTCCAGACAAAATATATAAAGTAAAGACAACAATAACAATAAAGTACAGTAAAAATGCAGTTAAAATTAAAGTTGTGTTATAAAACAATAAATCAGGGTGCCTAATTTATTAAAGACTTCGTCACTGATGAAGACTTTTGGATGAAAGGCGAAATGTTTTAACAAAAAGAAACCATCCAGAGGACCTGACTTAACTTTGTTGGAATCAAAGTTATTGTTATTGGTAACATATCAATGGTGTGCCAAGAATAAAAGTGGAAATAATGTTTATAGCATCATTTAGTACCCAACAACGCAGTAAAAATTTGGGTTGTTTGATATTTTTTCAAATGTCAAACTTTGTATGCAGCTCCTGAAAAGCTGTATGCTTGATCGTTGGCAACAACGATTTACAATTTATTGATCATTCCTTTTTTGAAGTTTATTGTGTCTAAGTGCAACTTCTTAATGACACATATCGGAGGATAGCTATACTTTCACTTTGCCACTGAGCTTATTCAAGTTTATGAACTTTTTCCAGCTATTTTTTATACTGAAAAACACACAAGTGAATTTAAAAAATCTGGTCAAAGAGGAAGAATTTTACGTCACATTAGAATCTTTAGCTGATCTTTTTAATAGACTGAATCAATAAATTAAACTATGTCATACATAATAAAAACTGTTGTGGATGAATTTGCCAATTACAATTTTGACGATTAATCATCACTGGAATGCAGGATACTGACAGCCAAAAAATGATGGCAGGATATTTTATTCATTATTTGACAGTTCAAAGTGAATTTAAAATGCTCCAGCACCATGCAAAAGTAGTATTAAATTACAAATATGTATGTCTTACTTTTTGGTTTAGAATATTAAAAACAAAATTCGCAAAAGTGTTGTATTTCTTACTGTCAGTGAACCAGAACGCTCAAACAGTTGTTTAGTAATGCAAGCCTCACTAGTGTCCACTGGGTTTTTTTTTCACATTATGAACAGCTTCCCATCATAACCTCTAAGTGTCACTAACAGACCAAAATCAAAATGTGCATATGCCATTTATGAAGTTGGTGCGAGGCAGCACATGTTTTCACAATCATTTCAATTTTGGGAAGGAGCAGCTGTGGCTGAGTGGTTAGAGCAGTCGTCCTCTGGGAGATCTGGGGGTTCAATTCCATCAGCAGTCACATGTTGAAGTGTCCCTGAACCCCTCATAGCCTCCGATGTGTGTCCCATCGGTGTATGAATGTGATCTAAAGCTCTGATTAGTCTCTACAGATTCAGATTAGCTTTGTAGAGATGTAGTAGAGTGCTGTATGAATGGGTAAATGAGGCACAGATTGTGTTGTATAGAGCTTTGAGGGTCTTGACTAAATAGAAAGGTGCTATATAAGTACAGTCCATTTGCCATTTATTGATTTATCTGAACTTTTCTGTGGAAAAGTGGCATACACCCCTATTTTAGTGCTCAAGCGTCTTTTGCCCATGAGGCCTCTGGTCTCTCCATTCTAGCGGTAGATGACATTGCACTATCACAACTTTCAGCCTGCCGTTGCTGCTCCAGACATGATCTCCTTTCTCTTAGTCAAAGAGGTTTTAGAAGGTATGGGCTTCAAACTCAAGCCAACCAACTTCAGTGTCCTCTTGCCCTCTTCCATTTATTCTCCATCTCACCTTTGCTGGGAGGTATGGTCTGCATTAGAAAACAAACTCTATAGATGTAAAAAAATGGCAGGTTGGCTTTCTTGGACTGTTAGGTCTCAGTCTCTGATAGAGGACATTTGCAAACTGAGGTGTACTGCAAACCCACCCACACAGACCAGTATTTGCAGTTTTACTCCCATCACCCTTTGGAGCACAAGTTAAGAGTCATCAGGACTCTGTATCACAGAGCAGCGTCCCCACTAACTCAGGAGCCAGGCAGAAGGAGAAATCCCACACAAGACAGGCTCTAGAGCAATGTGGATATCCTAACTGGGCCTTCCTGAAAGCAGAGAAGAAACCCAAGCAGGACTCCAGTCAGCCATCATTTGAAAAGGAGGAACCCAGACCAGTGGTCATTCCATATGTTGAGGGAGTATCAGAGAAACTGAGACGTTTATTTTCTAAACATAACGTCCCAGTGGCTTTTAAACCCCAAAATACATTACGGCAAAGACTGGTTCATCCCAAAGATCCAGTCCCCCGGCACAAACATAGTAATGTTGTGTATGCTGTTCAGTGTCAGGAGGGCTGTGATCAGTCTTACATCGGGGAAACAAAACAGCCACTGACCAAAAGGATGGCCCAGCACAGAAGATCAACATCATCAGGCCAGGACTCTGCGGTCTACACTCATCTCCAGGCCAGCGGTCACTCTTTCAGGGATGAAGATGTGCACATCCTGGATAGAGAGGAACGATGGTTTGAGAGAGGAGTAAAGGAGGCCATCTTTGTGAAAAGAAATCGTCCATCATTAAACAGGGGTGGAGGCCTACGTGTTCAATTGTCCCCCTCTTACAATGCTGTGATTGCTAGTATCACTCAGCCCTCTGTGAATAGTAAACAGCCATCAGTGTGCTAATGATCCATTGTTAGGCTGATGGTCCTTCTTGAGCATGTGAGCAGCTGGTTTTGGTTGTCAGCAGCAAACTGGTTGATCCACTCTGAGAAGGTGCTATTTAAGAGACTGAGCTGAATACAGCTCCTCAGACTGAGGAAGTCTCTCGGATGAGAGACGAAACGTTTCTATATTTTTTTGCTTGGTTTTGTTTTTTGTTTTTTTGAATGTCCAGAGGACCAGATTGAACTTTTTTGGATTTTTCTACCTGGATTATTGAGCATGCATCAGGACAAACCACATCAGTTCTTAGTTGGACGGTTGTCTTATATCTTCCTAAAAACTAGCTCTAAGGTGAAAAGTGAAAATCCACAGAGGAATCTCCAGTTTCAGCCGTTCTCAGCCCACGTCACAGTTTTTATTTTTTGTCATTCACACTGGAGTTGTCGTGAAAAGAAACTATTCAGCAGGTCTGTTTCTCTCAACACCGCTCTGGTAAAAAGTGACTGAAATGAAAAGGTGACATCTAAATTTAAAAAAGTCTGCAAGGAGAGACTGCAGAACAGGACCTGCTTTGCCAGTAAACATTGTGCTGATGATGAAGTAATGTGATATGACAGCTGGGGTTTAAGGTAAGTGGTCAAAAAGTCAAATTTTGACATATTTTACTTTCACATTAGAATGATTTTTTTTATTTATTTTTAAATCAAACCATGTGCCTAAATATGTAGCATGATCTACACACTTTGAGTATGTTTGTGCATATCTGATTTAATGCCATTTTAGACATTTGTTATGTTTACATGTGCGTTAATTAATCAACTTTGCACAGTACATATAATTATGACTTTGCTTCGAGTGGCACTTCCCTGCTGGTACCTAAGCTGCTTCTCCTCGGCCTCCTACCTTTTCGAACATTCCCATCTACAGTGCGTTGAAACTCTCCTGCACTCAGCAAAAAGCAGGCCCGGTCGTGTGGATACCGCTCGCGGCTGGTGTTGGAGCCAAGACCTCCGGTGGCTGGGCTGCGCTCATCCCCAAGAACTTGGTCAATGGTGGGGCAGTCTTCGTTGGCTAAAGCTGCTGCACTTGCTGCTGCGTCACCATTCGGCTTAGAGTCTGTAAAAATAAGAGTGGGGTGGTTGAGTTACGGTGAAAATAACAAAAGGAAGGAAAAATATGAATAATTATTGATGAGAGAAGTAACAAAAGTAAAAACTGGTTTAATAAAAAATAATCAATACATTATGCACGTTCAAAATAAAATAAATAATTTAAAATATTAAAAGTACGGTGGTCCTAAGGTGTAAATGAACAACATGTAAAAAAAACAGAATCACATTTGGAAAAAATGGAATTACATTAAGCCAAACCAGAAGTGGTGGTGGTAGTGGGGGGAGGGTTTAGTGTTTTTTTTTTTTTTTTTTTTTTTACTCTATTAACATGAAACTATTGTGGCCATATGGTGGTTTGGCTTAATGTAATTCTGTTTTTTCCAAATGTTGTTCATTTACACCTCAGGGCCTCCATATAAAAGAATAATCAAAAACCTCCTGGACCTGACAGATTTACTACAAAGGTTGACAAAATAAATTCTTCAGACAATTGTCTCAGTTTCTTTTAGATATGTTTTAATTATTGTCTGTTTACATCCCTCCTTCCTGAGGCTTAAATCCATCCTATAGAAAAGAAAGATAAAGACCTAGCAGACTAGCTTCTACAGACCAGTTTACTCCTAAATATTCATGTCAAAGTCAAAGATCTTGGAAAAACAGGTTGGAAACTCACTTCTAAGTAAATTTGAAAGAGCAAGCTGTTAAAGGAAGATAGTTGAAAACTGTAAAATGATTACTCAACACAATTTTTTTTTTTTCATTGACCCTTTATTTATCCAGGTAGTCTCATTGAGCCATGAGAACTAATTTTCAAGAGAGACCTGTTTAGGGAGCAGATGGTGGGGGTTAAGGACCTTGCTCATGGGCCCAGAGTGGGGCGAATGAGGGTGGGGACAGGTGTGGGTGCTTCACCTACCCCACCCACATTTTTGATGCTGTCAGTACCAGGGCTTGAACCGGCGATCTTCCGATCACAGGCCCACCTTCTCTAACCTCTGTGCCACCACTCCCCAATTTCCACCTGCTTTAAAATAACTTTGTGAGTCAATGCAGAAAAGGCCTGAAATTTGTATATTCTTTTGGAAAATTTAGATTTGGTGAAAAATATTTTTCTGGAGTGGTCTTTATGCATCTTCTGCTCAGGTGCACAACAATAATTAATATTCAACATATTTTCTGTTGTACTGTGGATCTTAGAGCTTTCCGATGTGTTGTGTTCTGCTGCTGAATTGTTATTGCATAGAATGGACACCAGGCGTCACTATAAGACTGTACGTTTAAAATATACTATGCAGAGGATGACGGGAGGAGAGGAGGAGAAAGTAAGGAAGTAAAGAAGGTGAACTAAAGCTGATCCATGTGTCTGCTTATTTTTCTTTTAATTCAATCTTGCAACTCACAACACAATGTTACATTGTTTACATTAATTCATTTGCATTAGCCATTAAGCCGTTAATTGTTTGTCATGATCTTAGGGTGTTTGTATTTCATTTGGGTTTGAGCTTGTGATTTTCTTCATATCACCTGGCTTTGCCTATTTGTTTCATCCAGACATTTCTTTAACACATTTTCAAATTGTCATTGTTTCCTTCAGCCTTCCTTGCCCTCATTTAATTAGCAACCCCTCTCCATCTGCTCATTATGTCACCTGTGCGTTATTCCAGTCATCACAACTCCATTTGTAAAAGCCTTCTGTTTGTCAAGTAAAATGGAACGCTCAGGAGATTGAATCATTTGGAACAAATGTTCCAGAAAACGATTTGATCTTGTGGAACGTTTGCTGTTGTCAACTCCTCAGTAAGGGAAGTAGCTCTTGGCTGTTCTAAAACTTGCTGTAAGCCACTAAATGACCTCATCGCCTAATTTACATATTTGTTGATTTCACCGTAACTGTGATCTAGACTGCAGGAGGGATAAATGGAAATATTGCAGGGACAAAACGTGAGTCAAAACACTCTTAATGTGTTTACAATTTCAAATGAGCTTTATGAATAAGTTTCATGACTTTAGTGCTTTGTACAGACCCACATTTCATAAATCAAAACAAAACATAATAAATAATAAATAAAATTTATTTTAGGGACTAAAGATGGAAATTAGCAATAAATCTGGTACAGTGCATCTTTACTACATTAGAGTTTAATGATTCCTAAGAGATGAAAAAGAAACAAAACAATAACAAACAAACAAATCCATCAAAGATCCCCCCCCCCCCAAAAAAAAAAAACATTAACGATTCTACGGGGGAAAAAAGCTAATATCAGCGATGTGAGATGAACATTATCTCTGCGTACGCATGATTCGTCTGCGTACTGAACGTGCAGCGGGTCTCTGACTGCAGCTGGTTTTGTATGGACACAAATTCCAGTCAGATATATCTTGTTCTTGTAAATCAGACTGCATAGTTGAGGTTTAAATTTTGTAAACTTGTCAAATTAAATGGCTGAGAATTTCTTCTTTGTGCATGTGTAGATAAGACAACAAAAAAGAGAAGGTCACAGACTGTGCAAAAACTTGAAAACAACATTATCAAGTAGTTATCATACTAAATAGTACATCTGGAGGATAACACTCCATGTTTATAAAGTCTTTTCAAAATACATAATAAAACAACATCTCTCAGACCCATTGCCTTTAAACTCATTTGCATAAATGATTGCAGAACATATTGCTGATATTTTACCTCCTTTTTTAAAAACATACCACATCACATAGATTGGCTTACGCGACTCTGCAATATTGCGTGGACATCGGGGGAAGTTCCCCTGGATTGGCAGACCGGGGTGGTGGTCCCCCTATTCAAAAAGGGGGACCGTAGAGTGTGTTCCAACTACAGGGGAATCACGCTCTTAAGCCTCCCTGGTAAGGTCTATTCGGGGGTTCTGGAGAGGAGGGTCCGTCGGATAGTCGAACCTCGGATTCAGGAGGAACAGTGCGGTTTTTGTCCTGGCCGTGGAACACTGGACCAGCTCTACACTCTCAGCAGGGTCCTGGAGGGTGCGTGGGAGTTTGCCCAACCAGTCTACATGTGCTTTGTGGACTTGGAGAAGGCGTTCGACCGCGTCCCTCGGGGGGCCCTGTGGGGCCCTGTGGGGGGTACTCTGGGAGCATGGGGTACCGGGCCCTTTGATAGGGCTGTTAGGTCCCTGTATGACCGGTGTCAGAGCCTGGTCCGCATCGCCGGCAGTAAGTCGGGCTTGTTCCCGGTGAGAGTTGGACTCCACCAAGGTTGCCCTTTGTCACCGATTCTGTTCATAACTTTTATGGACAGAATTTCTAGGTGCAGCCAAGGTGTTGAGGGGATCTGTTTTGGTGGCCTTAGGATTGCGTCTCTGCTTTTTGCAGATGATGTGGTCTTATTGGCTTCATCAGATCGTGATCTACAGCTTTCACTGGAGCGGTTCGCAGCCGAATGCGATGCGGCGGGGATGAAGATCAGTTCCTCCAAATCTGAGGCCATGGTCTTGAGCCGGAAAAGGGTAGAGTGCCCTCTCCGGGTCAGGGAGGAGGTCCTACCCCAAGTGGAGGAGTTCAAGTATCTTGGGGTCTTGTTCACGAATGAGGGAAAAATGGAGCGTGAGATCGATAGGCGGATAGGTGCAGCATCTGCAGTGAAGCGGGCGCTGTACAGGTCTGTCGTGGTGAAGAGAGAGCTGAGTCAAAAGGCGAAGCTCTCAATTTACCGATCGATCTACGTTCCCACCCTCATCTATGGTCACGAGCTTTGGGTTGTGACCGAAAGAATGAGATCTCGGATACAAGCAGCCGAAATGAGTTTTCTCCGCAGGGTGTCTGGGCTCTCCCTTAGAGACAGGGTGAGAAGCTTGATCATCCGGGAGGGACTCGGAGTAGAGCCGCTGCTTCTCCACGTCGAGAGGAGCCAGTTGAGGTGGCTTGGGCATCTGTTTAGGATGCCTTCTGGACGCCTCCCTGGTGAGGTGTTCCGGAAACGTCCCACCGGAAGGAGGCCTAGAGGAAGACCCAGGACACGCTGGAGGGACTATGTTTCTCGGCTGGCCTGGGAACGCCTCGGGATTCCCCTGGAAGAGCTGGCCCAAGTAGCTGGGGAGAGGGAAGTCTGGGCCTCCCTACTTAGACTGCTACCCCCGCAACCCGACCCCGGATAAGCGGAAGAAAATGGATGGATGGATGGATCACATAGATTTTGGAAACTAACTTTAAATTCATAGATGGCTCCAGAAAAACCCCTTAAATGATTTAATGCCACTTCAGTTTTCATTTCTATACCCACATCCGACAAACGCTGAGAGATTTGAATTGCAAATGTTTGCAGTTTATTTTTCTGGACTAAATTTGAACAGAGAATGAAAGTAAACCTTAATGTTTGTGGTGCAAGATATTCAAGTGGGTATGAGCTACAATGTGGAAAAGAAGATAATTTTTTTTTTTTTTTAGTTTATCTGAGGCAGCACAGAGTGATGGATCCTGACGGGCAGCTATAGCAATTTTCAGTAGTGAAGCCAGAGGGCCATTGGTGACATTGGCCATCATAGATTAATCTCTGGCCATGCCACTGGTCACCCCAATCATTTGAGGAAACTACCGGTATACTATACGCATTAAAGTTCACACTCAATAATCTGGGTAAAAGAAATTCAACAAAATTAAGTCAGGTCCTCTGGATGGTTTCTTGTTTTGTTGAAATGTTTTGTCTTTCATCCAAAAGACATCATCTGTTAGAAGAGCCACGACAAACTCAGTCCCACAAGTAGCACACTCACATAGTGGGCTAACCAGTTTTATGGTGGTAAGTTGGTCTCTGGAGTCCGCCCTCTCCCCCGTTGACTCATCTGAGGTAGCCATGGCCAAAGTGGTTCAAAACATCAAAGTTTGATATACTATAAGCAATATAAACTTTAAGCAATACACAATCTAAAACACATGGATTACTCAAATGACTGAGGTGGCCAGTTTACATGTATATAGTGGTGGTCATCATGGATATTGATGCGGCAACACAATTTTCAGCAGGGACTTTTCGAACACTTGGATGCAGATGCACCCAAAAAGAAGTCGGTATCTCACTTATTTTTCAAGTTATCCAGCTTACAAGATGGATCGATGGACAGAGGGAATTTCCAATTCCCCTCTTCACTTCATGACGAGAGACAAAAAGATGAGAAAGAAACCTGGCAGAGGAATAATGAAGTGTAGGAAGTAATCCAGAGGAAGAGTTTAGCTAAGAAGAAATGGGACAGTTAGAGGACAGAAGAGAGTACACAGGAATATGCAACTCAGGGCAAAGAAGATGGCAGCAAAAGTAAAACAAAAGTTGTATGATGAGTTGTACAAGTAGCTGGACAGTAAGGGGTTAGAGAGAAGGACCTGTATTGACTGACAAGACGAAGGGATCAGGTTGGAAAGGATGTGAAGCAAGTTAGGCTTGTTAAAGATAGGAATGGTAATGTTCTAACAAGTGAGGAGAGCATAATGGGAAGATGGAAGGAGTACTTTGAGGAGCTACTGAATGAAGAGAATGAAAGAGAAAGAAGAGTAGTGGTCACAGAAGCTGTGGCCCAGCAAGTGGGAAAGATTAGTGAGGGTGAAGTCCAGAAAGCTCTGAAAATAATGAAGAAGGGGAAGGCAGTAGGACATGAAGACATACCACTGGAGGTTTGAACATGTCTTGGAGAGATGGCAATGAAGTTTTGGACTCAAATATTCATGTTATATTTGAGGGTGAGAAAATGCCTGAGGAATGGAGAAGAAGTGTGCTGGTGCCCATTTTAAGAACAAGGGTGAAGTACAGAGTTGTAGCAACTACAGGGGAATTAAGTTGATGAATCACATGATGAAGATCTGGGAGAGAGTTGTGGAATATAGACTTAAATGAGAGGTGACTATCTGTGAGCAGCAGTATGGTTTCATGCCAAGAAAGAGCATCACAGATGTCATATTTGTTTGAGGATGATGATGGAGAAGTACAGAGGGCCAGAAAGAACTCCATTGTGTATTTGTGTACACATGTATGAATGAGAGAGAGGCAGGTGTAACAATGAGGCTATAAGGAGCAGAGGACACAAAGATCCAGGACTTAAAGTATTTAGGATTAACTGTCCAGGAAATTGTGGAGTGGAATGAAGAGGTGAAGATGAGAGTCCAAGCAAGATGGACTGGAAAGAGAGTTTCAGGAGTTATTTGTGACTAAGAGGTGGTAGCAAAGGTCAAAGTAAATGTGTATAAGAGAGTAGTGAGGTGAGCTATGTGTGATTTGGGAAAACTGGCCTTAACAAGAAGACAGGAGAAAGAACTGGAGATGGCAGAGAAGAAGATGTTGAGGTTCTCCTTAAGAGTGACAAGGATGGAGAAGATTAGGAATTACCATACATTACCATACCATTTTATTTATAGAGCACTTAAAACAGCGACAAGGCCAACCAAAGTGCTGTACAGACAGAAAAACAAGCAACACACAAAACAATATACAAAATGAAGTAAATCAGAATATAGACATAAAAATGTTGCAGATAATAAATATAACGACTAACCAGTGTGGAGCATACAGGTTCAAACACAGATCATCTGATGTTGAAAGCTATGGAATAGTAGTGGTTTTTTTAACGAGATTTGAAAACCGAGAGGGAGGGGGCTTGTCTGACAAGCAGAGGTAACTCATTCCAAAGTCTTGGTCCTGCTACAGAGAAGGCCCTGTCACATCTGCGCTTAAGACGAGTTCCTGGAACTGTGAGAAGTAACTGGTCCGCTGACCTCAGAGAATGTGATGGGACATACGGCTGTAGCAAATCAGAGAGATGTGTGTGTGTGTGTGTGTGTGTGGGGGGGGGGGGGGGGGGGGACTGTTCAGTGATTTGTAGACATACAGAAGTATTTTGAACTGGATTCGAAGGTGAACCAGTAGCCAGTGCAGGGAGACCAAGACTGGTGTAATATTCTCTTTTTTGCCTGTACCGGTTAAACATCGAGCTGCTGCATTCTGGGCCAGTTGTAGTCATGCAATCGAGGTCTGACTTATACCAAACAGGAGCGAATTGCAATAATCAAGCCTAGATGTAATGAATGTGTGTATTACTGTCTCCAGGTTATTTTTGGACAAAATGGGCTTCAGCTTAGACAGCCACCTCAGTTGGAAGAAACATGATTTAACAATCATGTTTACATGATTGTTAAGTTTCAGGGAAGGGTCCATTATCACTCTCAGATTAGTGACTCTTAGTTTTTCTGACAGGGCTAGAGTGGAAAATTTGATGCAGTGGTTTGTGATCGTGTCGTTGGGAGGGAACAACATGACTTCAAACTTCTTTTCATTGAAACTTAAGAAATTTAAAGCCATCCAGTCTCTGATGTCAGCCAGGCAGTTGAGCAGAGGATGAATAGAGCATGTATCATTGTGTCTTAGAGGGAAGTAAATTTGACAGTCATCGCCGTAGAAGTGAAAGGGTATGTTGTGTTTCCAGAAAATAGCACCAAGTGGCAGCAGGTATAAAAATAATAGAAGGGGACCCAGGATGGACCCCTGCGGAACCCCCCATTTAAGGTCTGCCGCTGCAGAACTAAAATCTTTGATGGAAACACAAAAGGATCTGTCAGTGAGGTAGGATCTGAACCAATTGAGGGCTGACCCTGTGATGCCCACCCACTGCTCCAACCTAGCAATGAGGATCTCATGGTTGATAGTGTAAAAAGCGGATGTGAGGTCCAATAGGACAAGCAGCACAGAATCATCAGTATCTGTGGATAAGAAGATGTCATTAAAAACCTTAAGTAAGGCAGTTTCGGTGCTATGGAGAGGTTTAAAGCCAGATTGGAATAGCTCTAAGATGGCGTGATCCTCCAGGAAGCACATCAACTGGGACTCATCTATTTTCTCCAGTAGTTTAGAAACAAATGGGAGTCTGGAGACGGGCCGGACGTTGGATACGACTGAGGGGTCAAGGTTTGTTTTTTTCAGGAGAGGTTGAACAGCAGCATGCTTTAAGGTTTTTGGCACTACACCAGTGGATAAACTGCTATTCACAATAGCAAGAATGGACGGACCTAGAGTAGGAAAAACCTCCTTTAGTAGTCGAGGGGGGACCACATCAAAGGGGAAACCAGAAGGTTTCAAGCAGCACATGACCTGTTCTAGAGAAGGCAGAAGATGGGCTCAAAATGGTCAAATAGAGCTACAGATTGAGATGGGATGGATGGGTCATTAGTTGGAGGGGAAATGAGAGCCCGGGTGGTCGCAATTTTTTCTAAAAAGAAATGTAGGAAGTTGACGCACAGCTCAGTTGAGGCTTCCAGAGGTGATGGTTCAGTGAGGTGGAGAACAGAGTTTAGGGTGGAGAACAGGACACGTGGGTTGTGAGAGTTTGAGGCAATGGTATCAGATAAGTATTCAGATTTAGCAGCTTTTACTGCTTTCTGATAACGACACCAACTCTCTTTTAGTATTTGAAAAGAGACCTGCAGCCTGTCTTTCCTCCATTTGCGTTCCACCCTCCTACACTGCTGTCTAACGGCCTTGGTGACGTCATTCAGCCAAGGTTCTGATCTGAGTTTCGATTTTCTAGTTTTTACAGGAGCAACATGATCCAGAGTCTTTAAGCAGACGGAGTTGAACTGGGATGTCAGCTCCTCAGTGGTGGTGAGAAACACCGGGGGCTGAATGATCATTTCAGAGTTATGAACATCAGTGAAACGTGCGGCAGTGAAGTGGTTAATGGCCCGGCTACTACGTGCAGGAGCACACGGCTTAGGAGTTAAACGGGGGAGGGTGAACTCAAACCTGACTGGCATGTGGTCTGAAAACACATTATCACCGATTTCAAGATTACTAACAGTCACAACACGTGTTAAAACAAGGTCCAGTGTATGTTCTTAATGATTTTCTCATGTATCAAGATTTTCTCTGGCTGTCAGACGAGTTCTTGCCACTATTGTTACAGTTACAGTGTTAATTTATGTTCTGACGTTTGGCCCAAACCTGTTAACCAGCATATGTTTTGATCTCTCACAATAACAAAACAAAAAGTTGTTTTATGTGTACATTATTAAATAGCATGACATAAAATTGTGTTTGGCCTTAGTATGTTCTTTCACTCACCTGCCCTGTTTATCTCGATGATCTCTTCTTGCGCCAGCGGACAGTCTCCAGTACCAATCATGCTGCCGGATCCCACGATGCCTGGCCCAAGCACATTGCCCAGTAGTCTGTCTGGAGAGGCTGTTGCAATGGCCAGAGCATCTGGCTTGCAATAGTTAGGGCTTCCTGGCTGTGGTGCTCTCGGGATGTGCTTATTCCTTTTCTTGGGGAGCTTTTGCTTAGCCATGGCCAGGGAATAGTACATACCAAAGTTGTTCACAATGACGGGCACAGGCATGGCAATAGTCAAAACACCTGCCAAGGCACAGAGGGCCCCCACCAGCATTCCTGACCATGTCTCAGGGTACATATCTCCATATCCCAGAGTGGTCATGGTCACAACAGCCCACCAGAAGCCAATGGGGATGTTCTTAAAGTTAGTGTGGGCTGCAGCTGTTGGATCGTCTGGGTCAGCTCCAATACGTTCAGCATAGTAGATCATGGTAGCAAAGATCAGGACACCCAGTGCCAAGAATATAATTAGCAGCAAGAACTCATTGGTGCTCGCCCTCAAGGTGTGGCCAAGGACTCGTAAACCAACAAAATGTCGGGTCAGCTTGAATATACGCAAGATACGGACAAAGCGCACTACACGCAGGAAGCTCAACACATCTTTGGCTGTTTTAGAGGAGAGGCCACTGAGAGCCACCTCTAGATAAAAGGGCACAATAGCCACAAAGTCTATGATGTTAAGGGCACTGCGGAAGAACTCTGCCTTGTCAGGGCAAAAGATGACACGCAGCATCACCTCAATGGTGAACCAGATGACACAGACGCCCTCCACATATGTCAGCCAGCCATCTGTAACAACTTCATACACTATCTGAAAAGTAAAACACAAAGAGAAGGGGTTTTAAAAATATATAATTCAAATAATTAATTTATTCATTAGAATACTCTATCTTTTGGATAGTGATTAGAGTGAAGATAATGTCACAAAGTGGAACCAAAGTTTAGTTGTTTGCTTGATGTCTGGTGAGAATAACAGTTTAACATGTGGTGAACATTACAACAGCCAAATGTTTAGCTCTCGTGACTAATTTCACTTACCATTGACCATCTAACTGATCCAATTATTCAGTATAAAAAAATCATTAACACTCAACAGACATGCTTGTTTTGTTATTTTGATTTGCAGTTATACAAGATGTAAAAATGAGCCATAATGACAGAGCAGCTTTGACAAAAAGGTCAGTACCTAAGAGTTTCAGAAAATAAGCAAGGATTTAGTTGAGTTCAAGGTACTTATCCTATTTAATAACAAATTTCCAATTCAGTATTTGATAAAATGCCATGCAAGAAAGTTGCATTGAAACTTCATATCAGTGTAATCTCACATACTGAGCAATAAAGAGATGGCTGAGAGAAATTAATTGTTTTATATAAAAAGAAAGCCTCAACAGAATGAGGTACAGCAGGGGCGGCCATCTTACTTCACCAGCGGGCAGTGAGAGTACCGTATGTAGGGACATTCCACGATCCAGTGAAAATGTCGCAGAACAATACTGATATCCTACAATCTAATATAATCTTTAGTAGGAATGTGAAGATTAACTGATTTATACTGATTCAGAAGTACAGGTCCTTCTCAAAAAATTAGCATATTGTGATAAAGGTCATTATTTTCCATAATGTAATGATAAAAATGAAACTTTCATATATTTCAGATTCATTGCACACCAACTGAAATATTTCAGGTCTTTAATTGTTTTAATACTGATGATTATGGCATACAGCTAATGAAAACCCAAAATGCCTGTCCCAAAAAATTAGCATATTTCATCCCACCAATAATAATAAAATTCAGGCTCCAAAGAGACGTTGGTGTATCCACCAGTTTGGACGTAACTGTCATGCAGACGCTGTATGCATGATGAATGCAGCTGAGCCCTGCATCAGGGTTACCAGATAAATTTAAAATATCTTATTTACCCACTCCTTTTCTGTGCACATGTTCACCAAACACAACACACACCTCATCTTAGAAAATCTTTACTCAGCACATATGACAGTTTAGGTCAAAATACTACCATTTTAAAGCCACAGTACTATAGTTCATAATTTCTTATCTGGCAACCCGACTCTCATGGAAAGTAGTGTTTTCATGTAAACCTGCTCATTTCTTGTTCATTGACCCCAATAAACATTGAAAAAAAAAACACTAACGTTTCCAGAGGTTGTTCTTGTGTAAATAGGGCCTTAGTCCCCCCCCCCCCCCCCACACACACACACACCTGATATTGTCTCTCCCCAGGTGTTATCAGAATTCCCTCATTAGTTCCTTTATAAAGCCTGTGTTGTCATTGTGTCTGTGCATTGCGCTTACATGCCATTCATGTTTGTCTTCTCCTCCTTGTCTTCTCGTGGTTTTACCTGTGAGTGTTTTTGCTGCCACGTCAGCCTTTGGTTTTTTTCTTGTTTAATAAATTAGTTTGTTTTACTTTCGAGTCCTCCTTGAGTTTTGGTTCACCCTTTCCTCACCAAACATGACAATTCAACATTTTAATGTTAGTAAGACTTTAGTTTTCCATTTATAATAAACCATGAATACATAGTTGTGTAAAGCTAACATATTTTCATCATTCCTGATACTGCTAAATTACTGAAAGAGTATTGTCATTTTTTCAAACTTTTTTTAATAGGTTCTCACATTTATTGAATAGATTACTTCCATCCAGTCAATTTAAATAAACTTCCACCTTACAGAGGATTCACTGTACCTCCTCACGTGTTACATTCCCAACAGTAACATTCTCCGTTTTGTTGTAGATAGTATTGAAGACCTCATGTGTCTCCAGGCAGAAGGTAGAGATGGAAAGGAGAATGAAGAAGAGTGAGCCAAATGCCACATACTGTAGAGAGAAAAGCAAGGAAAAAATATATTAGTTTTACCGTAAACATACATTGTGACTTTTTTATTCAGATAACATGATCCTGAATGATCACACCTGAACAAACATTGTTTTGACGAGAATTATATATATTTTTCTTACTTCTGTGGTATTTATTTAATTGCTGGTGCATGAGAAGGAGATGTTTGAGCTGTTCTTGTGTATGTAGTGCAAAGAGCCTGTGAAAGGAATAGTATAGGATGTTGATTAGAGTGCAAAAATGTGTTGAGAACATTTGTTGTCAACTACAGAGATAAAAGAAAAAGAAAATAGAGGAAAATGATTATGTCTAAAAGCCTAACCAGGGACCAAGTCTGCAAATTTATAAAGCAGTAATGTTATAGCTAAAGCTGTAAAAATTGAGGAAACCTGTGGTGTGCAGTAGGAATGTGTAATATTGCAATGATGATAACAATTGCAACTATCCCAGAAGCCTTCACTTCTCTGTGATCCCTTTTACCTAAACCAGGTGTGGTCATCAAAATGAGTCAGAGTCTGATGACAAAATATTCTGTGAAGATATTAAAGATATATAGATATAAATATTATAGATAAACAATAATTTTGTATATTTGTATGTAACATACTTGTTCCTGTATACGCATGGATTTTTACATCTGCTGAAACTGAAGTAAACAATGTTGAACATCTGAACCAGAACTTCCTACAGAGATCTATTCATTGCATTCATTATCTCCTACTGCTGAAGGCGGTATGATAATGTTTTTGCTTGCATGCCTCTACATGTGTGTTTATCTAGGGCAGTTCTTTTATGGTCTATTTTTTAAAATTAGACCATGATAATAGGTCGTGGGACTCAATGTGCTCTCCGAGGGATAGAAGCCACTTCTTCTGTCTGTCTAATCACTGACTTCACATACACTCATAAAAGATGTGCACGCACATGCACACACACACACACACACGTGAGTTTGTGTGTGTGTATAAATATGTATGCGTATGTATGTATGTATGTGTGCATATGTATGTTGTGTGTGTGTATATAAATATATATATATATAAATTCATATATATATAATATAATATATATATA